ATTATATATATGGAAAGAATATGGAAATTATGTTAAAAGCACCCCGTATAATGACGAAAGCACCGCATATAATGCTCGAACCACTGCGTATAATGGCGAAACCACCGCGTATAACGTTCGAACCACTGCGTATCGACAAAATGCCGTTTGATCACTTACGCCAGCTATGGCTTTCCATAAAAGAAAACCAAAGATGAAAGATGATCACATTGGTTGTTTGCCTTATGCCTGTTTATTAGGCAAGAATAGCCTGCCGGCCCGGAAGCAGTGCATTGTGGTAGGCCGAAATACATCAAAACGATCGAGATTTCATCTGCCTTATATATATATATATATATACATATACATAAAGATTAGGATTGCTGCCTCGCTCGCTCGCTTCACGCTCGCTCGCTACGGCAGCAATTATAATTGACATTGATGTAACCGTACAAATACTGTACAATGACCTAATGTGACTAATTTTAGAATTTTAGATAGACATAAAAGGGCGCGATTTTTTTACAATCATTAAACAATTGTTGATTTACGACCGTTCACTTCACGATCGCTATAGAAACAATCGCATAGAAGATTACAACACGCAACAGCCAAGCTCTAATAAAGCGTATATGGTATCTCGTAAAAGACAGTACCGACATCGCGTTCGGTGCGAGGAATGCAATAAGGAAATCGACAGTGATTATAAAGTGGTGCATTCTCGATTGGTTCATAATGGTAAAAAAGTAAAATGTCATCCAGTGATGGAATCATCGGATTCATCCCAGTCGAAAATCAGTCACGTTCTTTGTAAAAAGTAACATGACAACCAAGAACGATGACCTGCAGTATGACCTAACCCTACTGGGAACTGAATCGAGTGGTAGTAAAGATTCTGCAGTCACGGTGTCTTTTGATGAAGATCTATCTGAGAAAAATGTGAAAGAACCCATGAGCGAAGACCAAACGGAACCAATGACAGCGTTCATTGATGTTGATGAATTAAGTGCACTGTCACAGCTCCGAGGAAATAGTGAACAGAATACGGTGACGGACAGTGAAAATGTTACACCAGAACCAATGACGACCTCTAACATGCTAGCACCTACACCAACTGGTGATCTAAGTTCACCAGCACCTATTCTAGACGAACAATCTGAAATGGTTTCCGTCCCCTGTGAGAATACAGAAAAGATTACCACCCCCACGCCCCAAAACAGCCTATATTACATGAATATCCTGCAATAAAATTCGGCAATGAGACATATGTGCGAAGATTTCAATCTGAATGGTACAAGAAGTATCCGTGGATTAGTTATGAAGTGGATAAGGATGCATGCGTGTGTTTTGCCTGCGTAGAATTTGGGAAGAATACTTCATTTGTGTTGAGGAATTGGAAGAAGTCAGCAAAGCTAGCAAAACATGGCAAGAGCGAGAACATATTAGATCCATGACAAGATGGCTCCAGTTCAAAGCAATGCAGAGAAACAAAACTTCCGTACTACAGCAACTGAATACTGCACACCATGACCAGGTTGCTAGTAACAGACAATACTTAAAAGTAATCATACAATCCTTGATGTATACTGCACAACAGAATGTTGCGATAGAGGTCATGAAGAGAACCGGGATGATATATAGGAGGTATCTGATGTAAATCGAGGGAACTTTCTCGAGTTACTTTGCATAAGATGCAACGATTTGCCTTGGCTGAGGTCTAAACTGCAAAGCCAGCTCCAGTTATACATGTTCAGTGGACATCACCTGTTAATTCGTTATTCAAATTGAACTACTGGAAATCGTAGCAAACGTCATGCTTGAGAGAATAGCAGCAGAAGCGAGAAGTAGCGACTATTACGGAATAGTTGTCGACGAAACGGCAGATATCAGTCGAACAGAGCAGGTACCTGGTATCTCTTTTCCTTAGATATGTTTTCGACGGCGAAGTTAACAAACGAGACATTTACTGGTTTCTATTCAACCAAATCCACAGAAGGGGAAGTATTATATGAGCTGGTAAAGACAGCCATTAGCAAGCTGGAGTTGAGGTTGGACGACATAGTTGCAGAATGCTTTGAAGGCGCTGCAAATATGAGTGGAGCTCGTAAAGGGCTTGCCGCACGTATGAAGGAGTGTTCGCCTCTTAGTATCTACGTTCATTGCCATGGGCATCGGCTTAACCTGGCGCTACAAGATACGATGACCACAATTGAGCCACTTCAGAAAGCTTTAGGGGTGATCCAGAGTCTCCATAATTTCTTGGAAGGAAGTCCCCAACGCCACGCCATCTTCAAGGATATCGAAGTCGACGATGACGACGACGATGTAACACTGACGATTAAATTGCAGAGTGCTACTAGATGGTCTTGTCGCTGGGCAGCTGCAAAGGCAGTGGTAAACCAATTTCCTAGGATCATCGAGGCTCTTCTCTCACTCTCAAAAGATCGCGATCCAAAGACCTACAATGACAGCAATGCGCTAATTAACTCGATTTGTGACTTTCGATTCGTTTTTGGTTTGATGGTATTAAAGGTTATTTTGTCCAACACCGATGGTTTGAGCAGATGCCTACAAGGGAAGTAGATGGATGTCGTCACGGCAAAGAAGAGTGTTGATGGCGTGATCAAAACACTAAGTGGATGTTCCACCCAAGACAATTTTGATCTGTTGTGGTCGCGCGCTGAAATCATAGCAGATGAAATCAAGCAACTGATTAAGGATACAGATTTCAATTTCGAAGATGCAAAGGTACCAAGACTCCGACAGCCATCTCGCCGGCTGCAGGCACTCGTCGGCGAAATACCTCAAGTGAATGCAGAAGTGGAGTACCGAGCAGCAGAAGACCACTATCGTATCATATGCTACTACCTAAGCATTAACAAGATTGTCGCGGAGATGAAATATAGATTTGAAGCTAATGATCAAGAGGTGCTATTGGCACTTGCAGACATTGTCTTCAGCAGCTCTCCAACCAGGGCGAATATTGAGTTGGTATCAGACTTACATGGTATCGACAGTGAGCTTTTTGGTAGCGAGAAAAATGTATTTGAGAGTATTGACGCTGATTACCCTGATCCTGAGAGAAAAAACGTCGCCAAAATTGTGAGGAAAATGTTTGAAAATGGTGTTCATGAAGTTCCTCCTGCTGTTTACAAAGTATTTTCGATTCTGGCCACGATCCCTGCAACATCCTGCTCTGCTGAGAGATCTTGAGAACCTATCTTCGAAGTACAATGGGTCAAAAATGGTTAAACAGCATTGCCCTTATCAATATTCAGAGAGCTTATGCAAATAGTACTTTAAAGAACGATATGGAAAAGATAATTGACATTTTTGGACAGCGACGTAATCGTAAATCTTATTTCTTCTAGATCGTGGATCGTAGCAATCTTAACGGGGGCCCCTTAACTAATTTATCATTTTGCAAACTAAATTCCTTGCACGTCTAGTGCTATACATGAGAGAATTTCATATATCACTGAAATAAAATGTTGTTACGTTAGTAACTTTCTCTTCTTTGTAAATCGTAACGCCTATGCTCAAAGTAAGCAATACCTACTATCATCGTTGCGTGCTCAATGTTTAAGGTTTAAGACTTTTTGAAGAAACCTGGCTATTATATAACCTATCATAATAATGAACTTTTATGATTCAGGTACTGCTTCTGAGGTTGGACTGTTTTCACTTTCGGTTTCACCAAAGGAGGCTTACGTTTCTCAACCAAAGGAGGAGTGTACGTGCGTCTTGACTTCACTGATGGAGATCACCTTAAAGCAGATGCAATGGATTATCTTCCTGCCAACACAATATTTGATATTGTCATACAGCAAAAAAACGCCCATACTTTTGATGCAATTCCAGGTATCTGAAATTTGTTGTGTGAAATAGCATGGGCAAATCTCATCTGGTCATTGGTTGGCGGTTTCTTGCTCGATATTGTACTGGGTCCCTTTCTTGACACTGGTGAAGCAAAAGTGGTTTAGTGGTTTGTATAATCTTTTGAAGAACAATCCAGTTGTATGCATGGAATGCTATTATGAAGTCCATTAACACGGCCAGACCGGTCAGAACGGTAAATTAATTGTTGAATGAAACACACAACGTTTGGACTTTGGGCCTATTTGACCGAAAAATTTAGATAAAATTAGAATGAGTTCCATTAACGCTAGATATTGGAGAAACATAGACCAGGTCTTTCCATTGATATATAGACAAAAATTCGGGTCTCATCGGTCAGGCCATTAAATGGAAAGCGACCTGTAGATTGAATAGTGACCGAGTTTCTTGCTGTTAAGCACGTAATTAAAAACTACATATATTTGTCATAAATATTTCGATTCCAGTTTTTACATTGTACTGATCGTATAGTAAGTCAAAATGCCTCTTGCAGAAAGACGATTCCATGTAAGCATTAGATCAAATAATGGTCATAAGTGGTATGTAAATGGACAAATTAAATTATACAAAGTAATTTTTCTACCAACTGAACAATAATTTATAGATAGTTTTATCACTTTATAAATACATTACTGTAGTCAGTTAAATTCAGTATAAGACTGTTCTCAGTCACTATATACTTAATAATGCAAGTCAAACTAGTGCGTCATGCATTAATTAACCCATTGTGTGGCAGCACTTTCCTCTTTGCGAGTAAAATCGTTTGGCGTTAGACAGAGTAACCCTTACTGCATGTCAACTCGTCGTTATGTGATTTTTTTAACAGATAACCTCCTGTATATACTGTAGTGTGCAAGACGTTATAGAACATATTTATGATTCTGGAGCCATTGCCGTTTTTACCACCTTACAGTCCCAATTTGAATTCATTCGAAGAAGTTTTCGCAAAAGTTAAATGGAAATAGTAAATTTCTTCTATAGTAAATTTCTTCGATAGTAATAGCAATCTTCCATTCAGAAGAAGTATTCAATTTCAAAATATATTTCAAAAGTTTTCTGCAGATTTTCGATATCGTTTTTGGTATAAAAGATAATACACTTCATTCTAAACGAAATCATAGTGCATTCCGCCATCTTGGATTAAAGGAATACCGAATGCAACCTCGCGGTCATGTGCCTCGTCAAAAATTTAGGGCCCAAGGGGGTGTGGGGAAAGTATTAAATTACATCAACATGCTTCCAGTGGGATATTCGTTAAAAACATAAATTTTGCGAATTATTAAGTTCAAAATACTTGCTAATTTTTGTTTATTTTCTTTGCTTTGAATTTACAAGAACATTCTTACATTTTTACTAACAGTCAAGTCAAGAAACCAAGCAAATCATTACTCGAAGTGCTCTCTCGTGCTGTTATTCAATGCATGCTCTCTTCACACTCGAGCGCGGTTATAACAAACGTTTTTTGGCATGTTTTTAAACTACGCCATTACATTTGAAATTCTTGTAAACGTTGATACGCTTGTTACTACACGTCTTGTTTATAAGATTTTTAAAAGAAACAGTATTGTCTAGGACTGGCCCAATATTAGCAAATGTACACATTTGATAGCCGAACAGAAAAATGTCTATAGCATAGAGGGAATTTCAGTCATTGATTTATTTTTTTAATTTTGAATTTAGTACATCAATCGTGTACTCGTGTTCGGTAATTATAGTAAGATTTTAGCCTTTTTCTTGGTCTCTATTAATCATAATATTTTGTAATATACTACAATCTATATCACAAATTTACAGTGTCAGATGCGCACAGACCGTCATTGGCGTCATACGAATAGATATAATTTTTCGAGTTCTCTACTTCAGTCTACTAACATTTTTAAAGTTTTCATTGTGAATCACCTGTTTATCTCTAATTCATTACACCCGTTTTCAAATTTACGCGACCTCCCTGAAAAATACTCTTACTTCAAATGGCAGTTTTATGTCACAAGAACTGCTAAAAATAGCAAACGTAAACGAACTGTCAAAAGACATTTTAAACCGTATTTAATACCAAAACTGAACAAAAATTAGTTTGATAACTTAGATATACGGACTAAAGCACAATCAGGGCGTCTATGAGAATGGGCGGTGAAACGCCAGTGAAGCAGCTGAACCATGTGTGATGAGCTTTAGGCCTGGGCCTAGCGTGCACAACAAGGAGTTCTCGAAGAAAACAAAAAATTTAAAATTTTCAACAGGCTTAATTAAAACGATCGTAACTTGGCAATTTTTGACGCAATGTCCGAGATACCTTTTTCTTGTGCTACACAGATCGTTAGCTACCGCTGTAGTGCCGAAAAAATGTTTCTGCAACGTTAATCACCGAAATATTTCAACTTCAAAACTATAAACGTGCGTGTCAACTTCGTCGGTTCTTACGTAGACGGCAACTATTTTGATTTTTTTCAGCGAGAATGATGTACATTATGTTAAAATTTATTATGCAAGATTTTATCGTGTAGTTTTTTTACCCTTTTTTGCAATCGTTTATAAAATTTAATAACCTATTTAATTTTTTTAACAGCACAACTGCTTTCGCAACTACGAGGTCTAAAAATATCTATGTAAAAACCTTGAATCATATTTTTTGTTCACTTTATGTGCCTATCTGAAAGACAAGATATATGTTTTCCTTGATGTGTATATATTTAGACATTATGTGAGTAATAATACAAGAAAATGTTATCTTACTTGGCAGCAACACTTGGCCGCATCGCTATGGCGATTTCGAAATTTTCAACATGAAATTTTTCCATAAAAAATTGAGATGCTTGCTGTGGCCCAAGAAGCTGGAAAAATTGCACAATGACTGCCTTAAATAATAGGATCCATTTGACCTGGGTACGGTAGCACAACTTTTCAGTTGACCTTTTTTCACAATTTTCGCTCGAAGTCCACAACCCAAAAAACAGTAAGGGCTCGCGGTTTAGACTGAGTGCCCGGCACTGGTGTCCAATGTCCAAAGTGGTTCACAAAACATGTTGAGCACAGTAACAGGTAGGCAATTTGTCTAAGCATGCTCGCAGAAAATCAATATGGCGACATATATCAGGAGTGTTTCGAGGATTTATCGGGTTTTAAGGCTGATAAAACAACATTTTAATGAACGAAAAACTTTGTAATATTTCGTGGAAAACATTAAGCTGTGCATTCCAAAGGTTTTAAATAAAAAATAAGTACTTTTGCTTTATTTTATGGCTTTTTATGCTTTGAAAACAGGCAAGCTCATATTTTTTGAAAAAATTTTATCTAATATTTTACCCATTATTTGTTTAATCAGAACAAAAATAGATAGAACATTTGGCTATATAAGTTATAAAGGTATTGTTAGCTGATCTGAAAGATTTCAGTATTCCAGGTACACATTTTAACAAAGAATAAAATTAAAATATATGCAT